TTTTGAAAAGCAAGTAGATTGCAGACTACAGTGGCTTAAAGTGGTGATAAGACAGGCTACCTTGAAGGCCTGTTCAGACTCCTGCTGTCATCAGCTTAGTAACTACTTGAGCATTGCTAATATAATTAATAATCATGCCTAGCTACTTCAGCCGGCCCGTCTAGTACATATGTAAAAGGGTTAGGCTATTAGAGTTCACCATATGTCCCCTAGGGTTATCTTTTCTAATGGGATTATACATCACGCTTATTCACTGATGCTCATGTGTGTTGATATCCTGTCCGCCTGGTGACATGGCATCACACAGCCTCCCACTAGATGGCACTATTCATCAATCTATCACTGAAGGCTCAGCTGGAGTACAACCGTGGTAAATGGGGTGAGGGGGGCAACACTTTTTTTGGTGGTAGTAGTAGTGTCTGAAACTTTCTGATCTGGAAGGAAAACAATCACTGACTCCAAATAACTGTGTTGGGGTCCCGCTCCAAGCTGTCAAAGCTTTTCAAAACAAACCGCCCATTGTGATCCATCTTAGAATCCTAGATTATTAGGGTTGGAAGAGACCTCAGGAGGTCATCTAGTCCAACCCCCTGCTCAAAGCAGGACCAACCCCAACTAAATCAGACCAACTTCTGTGGTCTTAAGTTTAATGACCGACTTTCTCTTTAGAATAGACTTCCTGATTCATACAACTTAGTTGGAAGGCCTCAGTTTTGGGGTTTAATGCTATACTCGCTGCTTTCAGATGGTCAGGTAGTTACTATTTGTATTGGGGCCTAGGGGCCACAACTCATTCTGCTAAGCACCGCACAAACACGGACTAGGACAATTCCGGTAAGCTCTTTGGGACATAGACTTTGCCCTTTCTGAGACCCCCTTACAATGCTCGTGTCACCATGTACAGTACAAGCCAAAACAATCTTGACAAACCGCTTTTCCAGTCCAAATGGGCCCCTAGCCATTACTACCTTGGAACGTACCTGCACAGAGCCCCCCAGCCCCCACGATGATAAACGTGGGAGCAGTTTTAAGTGGCTGGGCTAGAAATGAATTGCTGTAGTTGTTCGGTAACTGCAGGGACCTTTCAGTCGTCATTAATAGGAAAATCACTGAGAATAGCCGCCTCCTCCTCTGGGAGTTGTGGTGGGAGGAAGCACTAGAGCGGTATTTGCTACCTGCCCGAAGCCAGCCTGCCTGCTGTCTGTCTAACTTCTGGTGTACAGTTGAAGTAGATGGCTCAAAACTCTAGTCGCTGGGGATACGCTGAGCGTGAGGCACTTCTGGAGACCCCTGCAGTGGAAACACCTTATGGAAAGCAGGCACCTCAGATGAGGTAACACGTTTGAAACCAGCTTAGCACAGCTACAGACATTGGCTTCTCAACTGCAACATCCATCTGTATTTGAGGAAGTTTTTCTCCTTCTCTCCCTGATCCTGCTGCTTTCGCAGGTTCTCCTTATGCTATTGTGATTCCCTCTCCCTCCAGGGCTGACAAGGGAAGTGTAGTGATCTAGTCTGTGTGCATGCGCTCCCTCTGAAATGAACGAGAAATCCCATTACCTGTGCCGAGACATGTGCTGACCTGCACTACGATTGCATCTTGCATCCACTCCGCCCTTAACCTAGTTCCCTTTTCCAGGAGAGTCTCAAGTGAGAATCTGTGTATCACTGTGGCCTTTGTTTATACATGAGCGAAGGAATGTTGGCAAGTGGTTACAATACCAGACTGGGAGTCTGGAGAAATTCAAAATATTCCTAGCTCTGCCACTGACTACTGGTGTGACGTCGGGCCAGTCACTTAAGCTGTCTGATTTAGTTTCCTCCCTTTAAAACAGGATGCGGGTGCCTATCTCACAAGTGGACTGACAGGTTTAATTAATGTGGAACGTGCTCTTGGGCCTGGTCTACACTACATGGTTAGGTCGACGTAAGCTGTCTTACATCGACCTAGCTGCGGAAGTGGCTTCACTTAAGTTTGGTTTCCACCGCCGTAAATGCCTCTGTGCTGATTTAGTAATACCAGCTCAACAGTTACTGGCCTTCAGGAGCTGTTCTGCCATGCCCCACACTGACAGTACAGCTGATAGAAGCGTTCCTGATGAGGACGCACACCGCCAACACAAGAAGCCAAGTGTGCACGCACACAAGCGATTTAATAACTGCGGTGGCTGTATGCTGTTGTAAATTAGGTGGCTCTAATTTGTAGTGTAGACATGGCCATCGATGGAGGGGCTATGTAGTGTCGATTAAATAGAAACAAGACCTTGCTAGGAACTTGCAAAGACTGTTCAGTCAAACTGCCCATTCTTTTATTTAGTGGGTGTTGTGGTGGTTCATAATCTTACTTTCAACCCTCTCCTCTAATACCAGTCACATCTGTCTTTCTGATGAGCCTATTTCACCTGCTGCTGGAGAGTCTGTAAGTCCACGAGCTGTTGTCCTCGGTAAGAACGTGTTGGAAACTTGGGTTAAGCCTTTACTTTGAGATTATAGAACTGTATTTTGCGAGGGTGGTTTGCACTATTAAATGTTTTGTGTACCCACCCTATTGCTGTGCCATCTAACCTAGTGCTCCTTGTGTTAGTCTCTGCGTTAGTATCTTGTAATTTCTATCGTTCTGATACAGCGAAAGGCACTTAAGTTTTGGTCCAGGATATCGCTTCCGTCCTGCAGCAGTCACGTGTTTAAATACAAACCCCTCCGCTTTCAAACTTGGGAGACGTAAAAACGGAAGGATTTTTGTCAAGATGAACTTGCCCAGACTGTACATGCTGCATGTTCAGTTGCAGTCAGCCATTGGTTAACTCCTATATTATGCACGAGTTGGATAACATTTTGATAATGCCACCCATGACTTAAATCAAGCTTGTAGCTTTAAAATGTTACTTTCAATGTTTTTGGAGGTTATAGTACTAAATTTGGAGTGGTTTATAGCACTTCATTTTGGAGTGGGCCAGGTGTGTGTCTCTTCTGAATCATTTTTCTCATCCCCAATTAGAAACCATCCTTAGTTGACAATTAGGAACTTCATAGGGTAACAGTGATAATCCGGTCACCATCTCTGAGGCTTAAAGAGACTTCCAGGAGCTAGGAATGGGAATCAGAAGTTTATAGCTCAGATTAGACTGATAAAATCCTAGAAGTCAGAGGTAACTCAGTGCACCCACAAATCTGACATCAGGAATCATAATACTCAAAAACCAGTGGGAGAACACTTTAAGCTGTCTGGTCATTCTATGACAGACCTGCGGGTGGCTATC